CAGGCGGCACAGAAAGCAAAGAAAGCACCCGGCATGGGGAAACATGTGACTCACTCTGCGGGAAAGTGACTGTGCTTCGTGAATGGCCCAGCACTGTCACATGGGGGAAACAGTCCTGGCCTTAGAGAGTCAGAGCTTACACAGGGTTTACATGCCTTGATCCCTTGGGTAGGGGGAGTAAAGGCAAGATGTGTGGATGGGAACACAGGAAGTTTAAAAGGCACAGGAGTTCCAGAAGTATACTGATTGTTTCTTATTATATTTTTCCTTTTTACCCCATTTTTCTTTGATTGTATCTCCCACTCTCCTTCAGATGTCAAAAACTCTCTAACTAATTTCCCCCCAAACACCCATCCAACGGGCTTCCCCAATTGAATTGGCTTCATCAGGCATTTTTTGCGCAATTGTGCTCATGGTGCTGTTAAAATATGTCCACAGGCCACATGGTCACCGGTCTTATCCAAGCTCTCACTGGCACTGTTTGAGGACTTCAGAAGTCAGTGATGTCATCATGTATGTTAAGTCATGAAAATGGGGATAAATATAATTATTATTATTATACAGGATTTATATAGTGCCAGCAGTTTGTGCAGCACTTTATAATAGAAGGAAAGCTCCGCTTCCAAGGACATGAGATCCAGGTATTTGCAAACCTGCCGCCTACCACCATACAACGCCGCAGGGCTCTGCGGCCATTCCTGGAAGCTCTACGCAGCCATAATGTTGCCTACCGGTGGGGGTTCCCATTCAAACTGCTATTCACGTTTAAGGGCAAGTCCTACTCCATTACCACCCCCAACGAACTGGGAAAAATACTTCAGGACCTGACACTGCTCCCACCATTGCAGAAGACCACCTCGCAGGCCGCCAGCAGTCCCCGTCCGGTACCCCCGAGTCCACTGTGGGAAAGGAAGCAACGAACCCAAACGAATCGTCCGCGGAGGCTGAGAATGGCACCGTCCCCATCTGACCCTACTTGAGATTTTGACCTGCCTAACCTGCAAACACCCTGGACGTGAAGTCTACCACCACTGTTAACCCAGTTGTATACGGTATAACCGTACTCCACCACTTACCTTACCTTGAAATTGCACCGCGGGTTATTAAGGGTGGGAGCCGTTGCCCCTAACCTATTATTGCTGATTTAATGCTAACCTGCTAAGTTTGCCTCCCAGCATCCACGGTCGGTCCTATACTTACCGGTGTTATATATAAATATATGGAGAATTATACGAGTTTTTTGTTTTTTTTATGGATATGTTGTTAGATATGTTGCAGCTCTTATGAGGGACCGGGTGTCTTCACCCCCCCATGAGACCTACGGGTGAGGAGATGGCTTGGTCCACCTCTTCCCCGTTACACTTGTCCTCCAGGACAGTTTAATTCTTTATTTGTTTTATTATGTTTACTGTTCCCTGTATGGGAAACCTAGTTCTACTCTTCCCCCTAACTTTCCTTCTTCCCTCCTTGATCCATCGGTGGATTGGAATGCAAAATCTCGATCCCTTACCCCCTGGTTATGTGTGAGCTTCTCCGCCTGCGAGGTGTTCGCTCGCGCTGGTGTAAAACACTCTTCTAAAAAATCTAACCCTTATGGCTGTTGATTTCACTGTACTCTCCCATAACGTCCAGGGTCTGAACTCCCCTCATAAGCGAAATAAGGCGTTTTCTTACTATTCATCATGTCACGCAGACATAGTGTGTTTGCAGGAGACTAGGTTCTCCACAACTTCCTGCCCCAAATACCTACACAAAAACTTCACAATTTTTTATACTGCAACCTTTACTGAAAAGAAAAGAGGCGTGCTGATTGCACTGCTATTCACGTTTAAGGGCAAGTCCTACTCCATTACCACCCCCAACGAACTGGGAAAAATACTTCAGGACCTGACACTGCTCCCACCATTGCAGAAGACCACCTCGCAGGCCGCCAGCAGTCCCCGTCCGGTACCCCCGAGTCCACTGTGGGAAAGGAAGCAACGAACCCAAACGAATCGTCCGCGGAGGCTGAGAATGGCACCGTCCCCATCTGACCCTACTTGAGATTTTGACCTGCCTAACCTGCAAACACCCTGGACGTGAAGTCTACCACCACTGTTAACCCAGTTGTATACGGTATAACCGTACTCCACCACTTACCTTACCTTGAAATTGCACCGCGGGTTATTAAGGGTGGGAGCCGTTGCCCCTAACCTATTATTGCTGATTTAATGCTAACCTGCTAAGTTTGCCTCCCAGCATCCACGGTCGGTCCTATACTTACCGGTGTTATATATAAATATATGGAGAATTATACGAGTTTTTTGTTTTTTTTATGGATATGTTGTTAGATATGTTGCAGCTCTTATGAGGGACCGGGTGTCTTCACCCCCCCATGAGACCTACGGGTGAGGAGATGGCTTGGTCCACCTCTTCCCCGTTACACTTGTCCTCCAGGACAGTTTAATTCTTTATTTGTTTTATTATGTTTACTGTTCCCTGTATGGGAAACCTAGTTCTACTCTTCCCCCTAACTTTCCTTCTTCCCTCCTTGATCCATCGGTGGATTGGAATGCAAATTCTCAATCCCTCACCCCCTGGTTATGTGTGAGCTTCTCCGCCTGCGAGGTGTTCGCTCGCGCGGGTGTAAAACACTCTTCTAAAAAATCTAACCCTTATGGCTGTTGATTTCACTGTACTCTCCCATAACGTCCAGGGTCTGAACTCCCCTCATAAGCGAAATAAGGCGTTTTCTTACTATTCATCATGTCACGCAGACATAGTGTGTTTGCAGGAGACTAGGTTCTCCACAACTTCCTGCCCCAAATACCTACACAAAAACTTCCCTGTTTTCTATAATGCAACCTTTACTGAAAAGAAAAGAGGCGTGCTGATTGCGCTACATAAGAATCTGCCATTTGTTTGTGATAAGCAAGTTGCAGACCCTACAGGACGTTATGTGATCTTAGTGGGAACCTTATATGATGTAGATGTAACTATTGTGTCATATTACTGTCCGAATACCCATCAGCTTCGATTCCTGTCTCACCTGCTCGGGGTCGTATCCCAACATTTGAGGGGAGTACTGCTCCTAGCGGGAGACACTAATCTGGTACTTCACCCAATTAATGATAGGACTAAACCTACCACCCGCACCGGCCCACCCTCCGCACTACCACTGGATAACTCCTCCCTCCTCACATTGCTGAACGATCACAGCCTGGTAGATGTTTGGAGGGAATTAAACCCGACCACTAAGGACTATACGTTCTTCTCCAACCCCCATCATTCCTTCTGCAGGATAGACCACATATTTACCCAGCAAAGCACCCTAAATACGTTCATATCTGCACACATTAAGGCAGTACCGTGGTCGGATCATGCCGCTAACGCTGTGAAGTTCCACCTGGCGGCAGGTACCCGATAGCAGTACTTATGGTGTGTGAACGAAAGTCTGTTAACCTCAGGGGATTTTTTGCAACAGGTCGAGTCGCATGCCCGCCAATACTTCACACTGAACACTGGCACAGTGGACTCTCCAGTTACTCTCTGGGAGGCCCATAAGGTTACTATGAGAGGCCACTTGATAGAAATGGCCTCCCGTAGGAAAAGGGATAGGGATGGTGAGATAAAAGAATTATACTCCGAGCTCGGGGAGCTCGACAGACAGTTAAAAACCGACTTTGACAAACAATTATTAGCACGCCTCAACACAGTCAAAACTGAACTGAACCTCCTGTTAGACAAACAAACAGAGAAGCTTATCAGATGGTCCAAACATAAGCTCTTCACCAGAACTAACAAGCCCGGCTCTATGCTAGCCCGTAAACTAAACACCCTACCCATGAGGAACACCCCCATCAAACTACGAACTGCCCAGGGAAACATTACTGCAAACCCTGACAGGATCGTTAATTCATTTCATGAAAATTTAACAAATCTTTATTCCTCCTCAGGCCCGTTCTGCAAAGAGCAAGCGGATGCTGCATTTAAAGATCTTACTCTCCCGTTGGTGTCCCAGGAATTCCCTGCACTCAGCTATAACAGAAGAGGAGGTAATGCTAGCTATAAAATCCCTCAAAACATCTAAGGCCCCAGGCCCTGATGGCTTCTCAGCCCTATATTACAAAAAACTTGCACACATCCTGGCCCCTAAACTAACTGACATGTTTAACTCCTTAAGCAAGGGTGATTCACTACACCCCTCATCCTTACTAGCATATATCTCCATGGTCCCCAAACCAGATAAAGACCACCTGGACCCTAATAATCATCGTCCAATATCTCTATTAAATGTGGACATTAAACTACTCACAAAAATATTAACTAAACGATTTAATGAGTTCCTGCCCACAATAATCCATAGGGACCAGGTGGGATGTATCCTCTCCAGACAAGCTGGAGACAACATTAGAAAAATTATCCATCTGGTACATGTGCTCAAAACCAGGAATGTTCCAGGCCTCTTATTGTCCCTGGACATTCAGCGGACATTCGACTCGATCTCCTGGGATTATCTGCGTTATATTTTAGTTAAATGGGGCTTCCGGGGACCGTTTTTGAACTGGTTACAAGCTCTCTACACTGGGCCAATGGCCCGAATCAAGTATCTGGGTCGTGTGTCTAACCCTATTACCATAGAGAGGGGCACTCGTCAGGGCTGCCCCCTATCACCAGTTCTCTTTGCCCTAGCCATCGAACCCCTGATTCACTTAATTCGAAACAACCCTAATGTGAGGGGAGTGATCTGATAATTAAAGCCAAATGGTCAGATCCTTGAATCATCACTAACATGCACATCCACTGATCCATGTATTTCGGGAATTCTTCCCAGTTATGTATAGGACTGAATTATATCTATTTATCACCTTACAGAAGAATAGAACATTGAGTTAAACATTATATCCTTCCCAGTTGCTTGCTATGGCAGCTCTGTTCCTCCACTATGCTTTTTCTTGCACCGTACTTGGACTAATTATTGTGCAATCCATCATATTATGTAATGGCAACTATACATGTATAGAACCCTTTTGTCATGCTTTCCTACTATTTTGTTATATTATAGTGTAAATGAAATAAAATATGAGTCAACTGGAAAATATATAATTCACATCAATAAAAGCTAAGTGAAAATTGAAAAAAAAAAAAAAAAGTTATATTTTATTAACTTCAAGGGGTATGATGTACAGAGCACAATGTGCATCACTTTCAGGGAATACTAGTGGCAAGTGTTAAACTCCAGAAGTAGAGAGAGAAAAGCTTTTGTAAAATAAATCTCCTCCAAATAATATTGCACCAAAATAAAACAAAAAAGTGTTACCAACCTTTAGGATTAACTGCCTGAGCTCATCCTCCTTCAGGAATGATGGCCTGAAACTCTCTTCGCTGAACGAGCTGCTGGAACCTGGAATATAGAACAATATGATATAACACAGGTGATCGTAAGTCTGCATTCACCGGTCATTTCAAGTGACCATACACACCCAGATTGTGCTCTATCAGGTCAACATACTTAACCTACATTGGCTCAGTGTGGGGCTCGAAATGACAGGATACAGTTTTATGTAGGGTTGCACTGATACCGATACTAGTGTCGGTGCCGATAAAACTCGCTCAAATGCTCTGATACCAGAACTTCATGTCAGATGAAGATTTCCTCGGACCAGCAGTGCTGTAGGGGAACATGGAGCCAGCTTCCCTTGCAATCAGGAAGTTGGGCGGCGAGTAATGGCCCACCTCGCGGCTTCCTGACTGGCTGGGAAGCTGGCTCCACGCTAGCGGAAGCACCGGTATCGGTACTCAGTATCGGCGAGTACTGAAAGCAAAATCTTCATACTCGATACCAAAAAAACAGTATTGGTGCATCCCTAGTTTTATGGGTTATGTTTAGGATCCCACCAGCACACTCACAAGCTTAAAAATGTGTCCTCATTGGAAATGTATTCCTTATTTCCTGACAAGATGACAAGACAGGAAGCAAGCTGAATTTTCCCCAGTGAAGTCACAGACAACAATGAAACCTTACAGATAGTCTCTTCCCCACACTGCCCAAACCTAAAGAACCATAGTTTTGGGTGGAGTTTGGCTTTTTGGGGGCTTTATAACCTTTAATTTGAGCACAGGTGCAGCTCACATTGGCTTATTTAGTTTCGGCAAATGGGCCTGATCGTGGCTTGTACAATTCAACCACCATAGTGTGTATCGCACCCTCATCACAACAAAAGTAGCTGTACAGTATATGTAAACCCAATCACTAAAATCCCATATAACTTCATGAAAATAGTCCCTGGTGATCCTGCCATTATGGTCCTTATTCAGGAATTTCCTGTTATAGGGTGATAAGGATCCATCTATGCGATGTCACCCTGTCACACAGGCTTCTGATGTAGACTACAAGTGGCCGTTCCAACACACTACACAGGTATGGTCCACTGTTGTCACCATCAGGAAACCAGCCATGAGAAATGCCATGCATCCATCGCTGGAGTGCATGTAGACAGGAAGTGGCTGCAAAGAGGGGATCAGCAGCACTGATATGTAACAAAGGGTGTAAAAAAAAGATGAATTATTTTATTACAATGTCAGTTATTTATGATGCAAACTAAAACATAAATCATCTAGGGTGCATGTGTACTGTAACAGCCCCTGGCTTGTAACTCAGCAATGGCTCTCTCTGAAAACTGTGACATGTAGTACAGCCACGGCGATGGTGTAGGAAACTAAGAAAAGTGGAAAGTTTTCTCATCTATATAAGAAATAATACAATTGGAATATACTGCTTATCTGGAACAGATTACAATTCCGATGATAGACCAGCGAACTCTGAATATTACTACGCACTTCACTCCCTAAAATCAACGCCAGAGCAAAGCCCCCCCCTGGAGGCCTAGCACGTATATGAAATATACAGAAAGCCTTTCTAATGAGATATACACAACAGTCATTGCAGGGGAAGAGCTCTAAATGAAACATTTTCTTAGTTGTCGGTGGAGTGGTGAGGTGTTAGGACCCCTATCAGATTTTAATTGCCATCTGTGTGGTAACTCAGGAGATTCAACTTCTCTTTGGGGTTGATTTATAAATCTGCTGCCCAGTGTTCAGATGGGTGAATGCCGTCGTATGACACTAGATGGTGCTGTTGAGCATCAGAATTTCCTATACACCTCAGTGCTGCCATCTAGTGGCAGGAGCAGTGTGTGTAACCGGCATTCTCCCACCTACTGTATGTCACAGTTCAGCTGCAGACTTGCAGCTGAGCTGTTACTTGTAGTTCTACAAGTATATACATACCTCTTACCCCTGGTTCTTCAGGCATGCAGGGCTGTGCTGGTGCTTGTAGTCCTCCAGGCATGTGCTCTGAACGTTGCCCGGGCAGCGAACGGCACGCTGCCCGGGCAACACTTTCCTAAGCTAGTTGCCGTGTCCCCCATTTGTGATTTACCCTGAATTCCTGGAAGTTTTCCCGTGTACTGAATCTTTGGCTTGTCCTTGGAAATCCCTGTCTACTGGCTCCACTCTACTTCCCTTTTGTCCTTGGAAATCCCTGTCTACGCTGTACTTCGCTTGGTCCCTGGAAGTCTTCAGCCTGTCCCTAACCTTTGATTTGTACCCTGTACCTGTTAGGTGAGTTGGGTGGACCTAGGGATTGTGACCTGGGGTCAGCACGCAGCCAAGCCCATCTCCACCATCAGGAGCTCTGGCGAATACCGGCTGGCTCTTAGATGCCACATCCTGGGGAACCCTTGCCACCTACTCAGCATCCCATGCCACCTACTCAGCATTGCAGCACCCTGCCTTGTATTTGAACTTCCAGCTTTAGCTGACTTCCACTGCCTCATTCAGTTCCCCTGCTTGTACTCCAGCTCTGGGAGTCGTCAGCCTACACTGCTTGGACCCTTTTCTCTGAGGGTCCCTGCCAGTGTAGTGGAAAGGGTCCACATACCAGACTCCAGTTCATACCCGTGAGTCCCGATCCGTGACACTGTATATACTGGGCGGAAGATTTATAAATCAATTCCGATTGGTTCTGGTGACTGTGGCGTCACAAGGGGGGTGTGGTCTGGTGGGGTGACACCAAAATGACTGACAGTCATATTGCTGTCACCCCCATTGAAAAGTCAGGCATTCAGTCATGGACCGAGAGCCCGACAGTGTCAGGAGAGAGCGGACCCGGCGGCGTACCTCATCCAGCCGGGTGAACGTCCCCTCCTCTCTCTGCCGGTGTCCATCACCAAGATGGCTGCCGGCAGGTGTCCATAAGATGACCACGCATGCGCGATGACGTCACGGCGGGGTGTCACCCCTTCTACGCTCCGGGTGACAACCGGCCTCGGGACGCCCCTGCCTGGTGACCAGACAAAAAGTGATGGCAAATCTAACATTTTAAAGTAGTCACCAGAACAAGAATAGAGAGGAAATATTCCAACGAGGATCCCTCCTCTGGTGACAACTATTCCCATAACTTCTAAGAGATTTCCATTACTCCTCCAAAATGACACCCGCACATAAAGACAAAATTTGATATTTGTATAACTCCCATGCTTGCATGGATAAGGGCTCTTGAGAGGAGTACTAAAGGAGGGTGCTGTGATGTTTTCAGGTAGCTATGTACAGCACCCTGCCAGCCATGATCTGCCTGGTGGCATAAAGAAGCACAGAGACCCAGCGATGGGTCTAAAATAAGATATGTAATAAAATGTCAAGGTTTTATCTAAAATTTGCATTAGCATGTCGTTAAAGGAGAGGAAGGAGGAACCAAGGAAGGCAAAATTTACCAAAAAGAAACTGCAGCTTTAAATTACATTGCAGAGATCTGTTTCTGCTTTGACATGAAAGAGTCAATTTCCGTTCATCGGTGTCAAAAAAGAATAGCATCTCCTGTGATTTCATGTTCAGACAGGGGTTGGCAACCTCAGCACTCCAGCTGTTGTGAAACTAGAAGACCCATGAGGCATTGCAAAACTGACAACCACAGTCATGACCCCCAAAGGCAGGTGCATGATTGGATTTGTAGTTTTGCCACAGTTGGAGATCTATGGCAGTAAAACATGAAAACATACAATAAAAGGAGGGGAGGAATGGTATACTACACACAAATACTATACACAAAGGTGTGTTGTGGGACATATGGAGAGTTCCTTTGCATTGTGGTAACACTTGCATTACTCCGCAATGGGTGGGTGTAAATGCTCCTCACCGTGTATTAAAGCTATATCACACAGTGAGGAGCATTTACACCAGCCCATTGCGGAGTAATGCAAGTGTTACCACAACGCACAGGACCTCACCATATGTCCTGCAACACACCTCCGCAAACAACACCTACACCAGGGGTGGGCAACCAGCTGCTCTGGAACTACAAGTCCCATGAGGCATTGCAAGACTGACAGTTACAGACATGACTCACAGAAGCAGAGCCATGTTGGGATTTGTAGTTAAAGCACAGCTGGAGGGCCGGAGTTGCCCACCCCTGACTTACACGATGGCACAGGGTGTCGTGCTGTGAACGGGTCCTGAGGGCCGGTGAATTAGGTGTGTATGTAGCTTTACAAACATTTTGTCAGGTTAAGCCGTCCGCATGTACGCCTCTCGGCTGCCCCTTTTAGCGGTTTGGCAGGAGATGCCCATCACTGACATCATATTGTTTCAGATAATGAAATTCCTGCGCAGCTGCTCTCCATCCACAACAATCACTTCCAAGAATTCCTTCCACTTCCTCACCAGCCAGCCGTAATTGGGTCGGGCTCGGCACTCTTGCAGCGCCCGCCTAAGCTACAACTGAGAGCAGATGAAGAGGGTTTTAGTTTCGATGAATCCGCATCACCGAAACAATCCCAGCCTTTTCTAGCGAGATCACATCCACGCAGGATTAACACTGCTCAAGGCTGTTCTCGAATTCACAGTGCCTGCGCCGAGCAGAAGAAAAACATGATTATTCCTGGAAATCCCGCTCTCTCTGCGGCTGGAATGTGTCCAACGAAACGCAGAGATCCAAATATAGTTCAGATGCATTCCAGACACAACAATCTACTATGTAGGGCTGATGCATACAGACCTAAATATAGGTGTATGGGCTTTAAAATACGCCAGCTCCAGCTGTTGTGGAACTACAGGTCCCATGAGGCACTGCAAGACTGACCGCCACAGGCATGAGTCCCAGAGACAGAGGCATGTAGTTTAATTGCAGCTGGAGTGCCAAGGTTGCCACCCCCTAGTATGCGGGAAGTTTACAGCCTGCCAGTAAGCTGACACTTCTGCTCCGACAGGGAGTGAATACAAGTGAATACCAGAACACACACCGATCCCTGAAAAGGTGAGGCTTCACTACTACAATTACTCAAGAAAACCAGTACTTACCCTTCAGTGACTTCAGATGCTGAACAGCCAACCGCAGGACCGTCAGCTTGTCCAACTTGCGGGGTAAGGGTTCACACTGCGGGATCATCGCGGACAATTCCTCGATCAACGTGTTCATTTTATCCCGCCGCCGCTTCTCGGTCTGGCTGTGAGCCTCTCTGCATGGAAACCAAGTTGTGTTAATGCCCAAAATATTCCAGACTGCCTCTGGATCAAAGGCAGGTTTGGGGTTTTGAAGATGCGGGGAGGGAGGGGGGGGTTGTTACATATTTTCAATTTGGTTAACTATGTAACTATGTAACTATGTGAATCCAACCAATCCCAAAACGGTGGTCTTGGGCAGCAGAGACTCAGAACGAAGGACACTCCACAGGAGTCGTATTGAGTGACTGATTGTATGATCACAGCTATACATATGTGCAGCCACCTTAAGCCACATGGGGGGTTACAACTATTTAGAAGTAATTAGGAATTTTACCTGTTCTGCAGATCAGCAGTGTCGTTCCCTTCTGAGACTCTGAGAAGGACAAATACCACAATCATTACACGCAGCACAACGTGACCTGTTTTGCAATTGTTATACAGGACCAAAGAGTACCTGTCATAACAAAAAAACAGTACACACTAAAAAAACTGTTCTACACTGACTAAAGAACTTACCGCCAGACCCTGAAAATGACAAACATGGCAAGCAACTCCTGAACTCTGGATTCTGCGTTACTCCTGACTCCTCGGTACACCTGACCTCTTTACATTACTCCTGACCTCTTCACTCTGTGTGAATAATGACTCTGCGCTACTCCCCGCCTCTGGACTCTGCGCTACTCCCCGCCTCTGGACTCCGCGCTACTCCTGACCATTGCACTCGGCGTTACTCCCCGCCTCTGGACTCCGCGCTACTCCTGACCTCTGCACTCGCCGTTATTTACTCCTGGCTTTTGCACTGTGTACATTACATATTTCTGATCCCTGCATTCTATATAAAGGCTCAAGTTTTAAGCCCCTCCAACTGTTAGCACAATTTTGCTACACCGACAGTTTGCTGCACATGCCACCTCATTCCTCTCTGGGTAACCAAGGGGCGGGGGGGCTGCCAGATAGGCTGTACGGGGCCCTGCGGCTCCGCCATTCCTAATGGCAGCCCTGAGGTCATTTATAAAGCGGGACTAACCACAAATAAAGCTTATTCATCTATAGTAACATTAGTTGCTTTAAAACACTGGCCAGCTGCTTGTTTGTTTTTTGTCTTTTTTAGGTTCCATAGAGGAGATCCCCCCCCTCTCTATTGTCCTAGTGACCATCATCTCCCGAGACTAAAAATGATGGGGAATTCAAAATCCTGAGTTGTCACTGGACAGGCATAGAGGGAAAATGTTCCAATGGGGACATTTCCGCTGACAACTGTCTATGAGGAGATTTCTCCTCACTGTGGTAAAATATGGAACAGCTAAATATAAAAAGGGGGGGGGGGGCTCTGGGGACAATAAAATTGCAATGACACTTGCCTATTCTGGACAACACAGACTCTCTAATTCAATGTGTTTGATCTCTGGAGGACTTACGAAACATCTGTCTCACTGAGCGTCCTCTTGCGGGAATACTCCGACATGAGCGGACTGAAGGACCTGGAGCTGACGGAGCCAGGCTTAGGACCCAGAATGCTGGACACTGCCAGGCACTGACTAGGTTCCATGATCAGGGTATCTGTGACAAGAAATATAGATTTGTGAGCAACATGAAAGGTGCAGTAAACAGATAATACACATTGTTCTGCTGTACACAGGTAAAATACATACATAGGAGCTGTTTTTTACTTTGTCCAGTCAGTCCTTATATTTACACAGCCACACTGGACAGCAGAGCCAAGCTGGTGACTAGATTTTTCTCTACCACAGTTAGAACTAAATAACTTAGTCACCTTCCATCCCACAACCTATGATTGTGCAATGAAGGAGCAGCAATAGACCGATAAGTTAATCCCTCTGCTCTCTACTTCTATCAGCATGTTTATTGTACAAACAGCTCACCTGATTGGTCTCTAGTGCTGACCTGTTCCTCTCCTAGTCTGAGTTTTACAGTACAGCGGATTCCTGACAGCTAAATACCAAGTTAAATCCGTGTACTAACACTAGTAGCATTAAAATGTATTTCATCATTGTTTAATGAATACGTAACTAGAAAGAAAATATCGGTATAAAAAAAAAAAAAAAAAAAAAAAGAGAGAATTGTGCCTGTACTATACACCAAGCGCCATACACCAACTGCTATACACCAAGTGCTATACACCAAGTGCTATACACCAAGCGCAATACACCAAGCGCAATACACCAACTACTATACACCAAGTGCTATACACCAACTACTATACACCAAGCACCATACACCAACTACTATACACCAAGCGCCATACACCAACTACTATACACCAAGTGCTATACACCAAGCACCATACACCAACTACTATACACCAAGCGCCATACACCAACTACTATGCACCAAGCGCCATACACCAAGCGCCATACACCAAGTGCTATACACCAACTACCATGCACCAAGTGCTGTACACCAAGTGCTATACCACTTTTTTAGGACCGAGTACGAGTAGCGATACTTTTTTCAAGTACTGGCCGATACCAATTACTGATACTTTTTCTTAAAGGGGCAGATCAAATTTTTTCAAAAGCAATACAAAATAATGATTTTAGGTCAGTTTCTTAATATTATGAAGAACTGTAACTCAAAAGACAACATGACTGACAAAAAATAAAAGTTTACTTTGCTTAAATTGTCACAAAGTTGTATTAAGTACTCAACGAAATTTCTCATAACATGTTTGTTAATTAAATATTACACAAACAATAACATTAATATACACAAAGCGTTATACACAAAGCGCTATACACAAAGCGCTATACACAAAGCGATATACACAAAGCGCTATACTGACAGTCATTTTGGTGTCACCCCCTCTAAAAAGTCAGGCACTGGGTCATGGACCGAGAACCCGACAGTGTCAGGAGAGAGGAGGGTACCCGGCGGGTAAACGTCCCCTCCTCTCTCTGCCGGGGTCCATCACCAAGATGGCCGCCAGCAGGTGTCAATTAGATGGTTGTGCATGCGCAATGACGTCATGGCGGGGTGTCACCCAGTCTCCGCTCTGGGTGACACCCGGCCTCGGGACACCCCTGAGTGCATGTAGACAGGAAGTGGTTGAAAAAGGCTATTAAAAATCAGCAGCACCCAAGATGGGAAGACGGAAGAAAATTAAAACCGTAAAACAAGAGTAGTTTATGAAAACTAGAATCATGGTAATTATATGTGATGCACAGTCATTAGTATACCATATGTCATTGATTTAGGGTTTAGATCTACTTTAATCTGCAGCGACCTGATTCTGCCAGCTGTGTTTATGTCCTCGCTGTGCTCATCGCGTGTATCATCTAGTTTGGCATATTGACAGGTCATACAAAGCATTGTGGGAAGGAAAGTAATTAATGATGCTTCCAGATCGTACAGAACATCCTGATGAGTTTCAGGGAGAGAAGACACTTCCTTGTTGTCACACATCAGGACACGGCGCAACGCGCTGTAGAAAACAACGTCTCTATCCTCCAAAGAACTCGCAGCAGCCTACCTCACAGGAGATTAGAAATCCGAGCATTTAAAGTGAACCTTTCAGCAATTTTACGGTGACATGTCACCATGTACAGCAACTGTATCAATTTTCAAAAAAGCTCCACCTCTTATCAAAAAGCTGTCCTTGAGCTCCAGTCAATGACTTTGCCAAGGTGGAGATGATGTCATCAGCCTGCTGCAGGCAGGAGGAAGCGTTTCCTCAGTCTCTCTCCCCCAGTGATCAGGCTGCAACATTGTAACTTTGTAGCAAGTCACAAAGTGAGAAGCTGCAGCAGGGGCTGATCTGCGTCAGCTGCTCCTATAATGAGGCAGACTGAGGCAATTGCCTCAGGTGGCATCTCTTTGGGTCACGTGCCTCAGGTGGCATCTCTTTGGGTCACTTGGGGAGGGGGGGTGGCACAGGCAGAGTGACATGGCCGCCCTGCTGCACAATGTTTGCAGTGTGCCTGCCAACCCCTTTCTGGCCAGAGTGTTCCAGGCTGCTAAGATGCAAGGTGGGGAGATGGGTAAGGGCCATACACATCTCCTCACACAGCTCTTAGCGACCTGGGATGCTCTGGCCGGCGTCACAGAGATGATCCACCACCCTGTTAGCGCGCACCACCAGAACACCCCAGCTCCCCCTCCGAACATGCACCTCCAGCATTAGTCCGCAGTTCTGATGTGCAGTGAAGTATTCTTGTTCAGTGACTCACTGAGGCAGGGGGTGGGAAACTCAGGACCTCCAGCTGTTGTGGAACTACCATGGAAGTGCCATGAAGCAGTGGCATCACAAGGGGGGGGTGCGGCCCGCACACTGGTGACACCAAAATGATGGCAGTCATTTTGGTGTCACCCCCTCTAAAAAGTTGGGCACTTGATCATGGACTGAGAGGCCGACAGTGTTAAGGGAGAGGAGGGGACCGGCCTCATATCACTAAGATGGCCGCTGGCAGGCGTCAATTAGACGACCGCGTATGCGCGGTGATGTCACGTCGGGGTGTCACCCGGTCTCCGCTCCGGGTGACACCCAGTCTCGGGACGCCCCTGCCATTATGCATTGCAAGACTCTGGCAGCCAGGCATGATTCCCAGATGCATGATGTGATTTCACTACAGCTGGAGTGCCAGGGTTAACTGCCCCTTGGGGCTGTGCCTGTGCCCCTCCCCTTCTTGACAGATGAACAAGCTGTAAGCAAACAAGATAAAGACATTATCTTACTTAAAAGGGACATTTCACCATCCTTGCTGTTCGAAGAGGAAATTTTATATTTTTTCACCTTAAGCCCTTTTCACCTTAAGCCCGCAGAGCTGAATGAGGAAACAAAAAGGTCAGTGTATGGCCAGCTTGAGCCAACAATGGCAGCAACTTTAAATCTATCTTCACAGGTTACCTTTAAAATACAACTCCACCATAAACTTTTTTTCCCCATTTTTGTTTTGCATAATGTCCCCCGTGGGAAGATTTAACCTCACTTCCTGTCCTGCTGACATGTGTTGGCCTAAACTATCTCCTGGGTACCACAGTGGTTAGGTCTCCTTGCCAAAATTCCAGCCTTTGGAGCTTTGAGTGCTTCTGCCCATCTTTGCGTGTTCCAGCTGTATAATGGGCACGGCGGGTGTACAGACCCAGGAACTCAGTGCAGGATGGTGGGAGACCCTCATAATGGGTACAGCAGGTGTACAGACCCAGGAACTCAGTGCAGGATGGTGAGAGACCCTCATAATGGGGACAGCAGGTGTATAGACCGAGGAACGTAGCCCAGGAATGATGGGAACACCTCATAATGGACATAGCAGTTGTGCAGACCCAGGAACTCAGCCCAGGAATGATGGGAGCCCCTCATATTGGGTGCTGCAGGTCTACAGACCCAGGAACTCAGCACAGGGATGGTGGGAACACCTCAATGGGCAGATCAGCTGTGTAGACCTGGGAACTCACCAGTAGATTTCACTAGTAGAATCCCTGAGAGATAGAGGAGATCTCCATCACACTGAAATCTCAGTTTTCGGGTGGACTGGCCCTTTTAAAGCTGTAAAGACAGAAGCCATCTTCCTGCAGATAACACGAGCCGACAGCCAGACAGTTATTACCAGACTCAGTGCAGCTTTGCAGGAGATTAAGTCTTTTTCACAAATCTCGTCTGACCTGGAGGCGGCCGGCTACTGTGAAGCATAATACACTGAAGATCACAGATCAGCGGGCTGTAAATAGCCTTTTCCTCCAGTGTACTCCTAGAAAAGATTAAAGTCCTATTTATGGGACACAACACACCATAACACACTACCGTGCGCGGCAGTGCGCAGTGTCTGAAAAAAATGCTGCATGTGTGTTCTGTGCATTGGCAGCCCATTAAAAATGAACGAATGAATGAAATGCACATCAATGGGTGAGCCAATGTGTGTAAACGCAACACTCAGGAATGGAGACAGCAAAAATCTCTCAAATCATAGAAAAAAAAAAAAAAAAACAGACAAAGGTATTTAACCATTCCCTATCTATGATGGGAAAAAAGAGTTTTGGCTTTAGAAACACTTTAAAGCAGAATTAAACTGTGCCAGAATTTGCCTTATTATGAGACACTCACCCCTGGGTGTGCTCTGGGTATGAAGTGAGCCCCCAACATCCACTACGTCCCCATCAGTGCAATGTCCATCTCTTCTTTCCTATCGGTGCCACGCCCATCCATTCTTCTTAACCAATTGTTGCCATGTCCATCTCGTCTTCTACCCCATCGGTGCCATGTCCATCTGATCTTCTACCCCATCGGTGCCGTGTCCATCTCGTCTTTCCCATTAGTGCCGTGTCCATCTCGTCTTCCCCATTAGTGCCGTGTCCATCTCGTCTTCCCCATTAGTGCCGTGTCCATCTCGTCTTCCCCATTAGTGCCGTGTCCATCTCGTCTTCCCCATTAGTGCCGTGTCCATCTCGTCTTCCCCATTAGTGCCGTGTCCATCTCGTCTTCCCCATTAGTGCCGTGTCCATCTCGTCTTCCCCATTAGTGCCACGTCCATCTCTTCTCCCCCATTAGTGCCGTGTCCATCTCGTCTTCCCCATTAGTGCCGTGTCCATCTCGTCTTCCCCATTAG